TTTAACATTTATATTTAACATTTATATTTACATTTAACTTTTATATTTAACATTTATATTTACATTTAACTTTTATATTTACGTTTACATTTAACATTTATATTTGACATTTACATTTAATATTTATATATAGACATACCATTTATATTTACATATGATGAACAATTGTGCAAATAATCTACACAGCAAAAAATATGATGATCCACAACACCATTGACTTCTAGCTAAATGTCAGAAAATTGCACTAAATGTTGAAAAAGTGGCAAGTAAAAAAATGTTTCGTAACTTTACAAACGGCGCCCCATACGTGTGCATGTGTGTAGACACTGCGGTCAGCTGACCGAAGTTGGGAACCCTGCAGAAGGATAAATAAATATATGGCGACCAACGTCATGAGATAGGCTATATTTTGACCAATTAATATGATATATATTTTATTAGTAATTATTAAATAATTTCTTATTGAAATGTCCTTCCCTCAGATGGAACTGAGTCGCCCAGAGTTGTTTGATTTTCACGGTGTGTCCATGGCTCACTATTTCACTGATAGCTGGGACCAAGTGCAAAATTTCAAGGCCAGATCTGATGACATTATGATTGCAACCTATCCTAAAGCAGGTATGTTAGTTAGTCTACACCTGCCTGTCTTTTTGTCAAGAGTGCGGTGGTGTTCACAATATAATGTATGCTTAGACGGTTTTACCAGAGTTACAGGTTGTGCAATTGCTGTGGAGAGGAATTCGTGCCACCTTGAAATTCAAACACGACTTCGTCATGCACGGAAGAACAATCGACACGACGTACCGTTTTACAGTGCGCGACACAAAGAAGCCGTTCCATGTGGAAATGAAACGCACAAGAGGTAGAGGTCGCGGAAATACTGCTGGGACAATCGCTTAAGATCTAATCGATGAAATGACGGCCACACTATACCCAGGATATGGCCATAACCACTACACGCCAGCTGTAATTGTTGTAATTGTGTGAAATGTAAACCCTTCTAATTGTTTTTCTAGATGGTAGTTACATAAGATGCAACTGAATGATGGTTTGGCTTTTCATTGCAAAACCATCGTTCAGACTCTCTCCACCAGACGTTCTCCTTACGACGACACTCACTGAAAAGCAATACCTCGTGCATTGCATTTCCACGTGGAACGTTTTCTGTATGAGGGGCCGTTAGGGATTATATTCAGAATTACCATGCATATACATATGTGAAAACATGCATAAACATATATGAAACCAAAATCCTTCACATAGTACACTGAAAATTGCACACACTTACAAGTGAAAGCACACACTACTGACTCTCACATAGTCAAAGCATATTTTTCTGTGTGCTATGCACTTTAAAACAACAAGTCGCGTCGATTGTTTTTCTGTACATGCCGAAGTCGTGTTTCCATTTCAAGGAGTAGGATAAGCGGGTTGGACAATGGATGGATGGATGGATGGAAATTGCACCCCCTTCTGGTCAGATGAACATGCTGTTTGAACATAGTTCAAGTTCCATAGAAATAAATCATATTTTAAAGTCCTTTTTGATAATGTGGCTTGTGTTAGTTATATCCGTGTGTATTAATTTATTGTAAATGTATTTAGTATTTTTTTACTAATTTATTTATCTAGATGGGTTCTCGCATTTTGCACCCCCTGGGGGTCACCTATGGCTGTATGTCATCATGGTCAGCTGGATACAGCGTATGACTGAGTTTATTACGACCCTCGCTTCTCTCACTTAGGTACAACCTGGGTTTCCCAGATTTTGGACCTGCTGTACTTTGGAAAGTCTGATCCTGGCCGCCAGACCTCCGTTCCCATATATGACAGAGTTCCTTTCCTTGAGCTCTGCATCCCAAATGTACATTCGGGTGAGAGAGCAAAAAGCCATCTTCAAAATCCACCGTAAAAACCAGCTTTAATGAAGCAACAGGCTGAAGTCTGATTCTGTCAGAAGCCGACACACATGATCTTTGCTGTTATTTTATTGCATGCAGATCATGTACTATGGGAATATTGGTTTCAACTGGAATTTGTAATGGTTTTTAAAATAAGCATGAAATATAGTATGTGTACAGTTTACCTAGTAGAAGTGTGGCCCGTTTGAACACAGGTATAGAATCAGTGGAACAGATGACTTTGGTTCCTCGCATCATCAAAACTCATTATCCTGTTCAGTTCGTGCCCAAGTCCTTCTGGGAACAAAATTGCAAGGTACAACTATATACATTTTATGGCTGATGATCCCATAACACAGCCAACCTGAAGTCAAATTTGTTTGTGTTTTTCTTCACACAGATCATTTATGTGGCCCGTAACGCAAAAGACAATGTTGTGTCCTACTTTCACTTTGACCGCATGAACATGGTGGAGCCAGAACCTGGAGACTGGCCCAGTTATCTGCAGAGGTTTCAGGAGGGAAAATGTGAGTAGATGTGGGGGAAATTATGCGCGGGATTGTGCAGGACCATGACTCGAGTATGCAGCTGTCCAAGACGTGTAAGAAAGAGTGGGTCAATAGAGTAGCATCAATGTACCCAAACCATTTCATTATTAAAATACGGGGAGTTCTATTGGTCATGTGACATGCATCGCAACACTCTCTTTTCACCCTACTGTCCCAGTGGTGTTTGGCTCATGGTACGACCATGTGAAAGGATGGTGGGAGAAAAAGCAGACATACGCCAACATCCACTACATGTTCTACGAAGACCTCATTGAGGTGAGGATCTGGAAATAGCCACGGAAGTTGCGCTGTAATCCTGCAACAGACTAATTGAATAATGCAAATGTCAGTAACAAAGGCAGGTGCAGTGAATATGAACCGCTAAGTAACACAGATTAGGTTGTTGTATTGCACCGTCATTCTAAACTCAGACTGCTGTGTTTCTTAGGACACGGCCCAGGAGATAGAGAAGATCTGCTCCTTTCTGAACATCTCACCAACGCAGGAGGAGAAAGATCACGTGATAAAAGAGGTGGCATTCGACACCATGAAGAAGAATAAAATGGCCAACTACTCCACCGATGTTGTCATGGATTTCAAAATTTCACCATTCATGCGAAAAGGTGGGTGGTTGTTGACGATCCTGATGACAGGTTATATGAGAGGGATGAGGCTTAGGATTAGAGAGAGGAAGCAGAGCCCATGTGGCCCCACCCACTGCTACTGCCTATGCCAAAATAAATGTGCATGATGGGAGTAAAGAAATAATAGCTGCTTTGAAGGAAACACATAATTAACATTTTTCAAGTAACATAACCGAAAAAAGATGTGGGACTGAAAGGATACATTAAATAACTCAGAAGATGGTACCTCACATCACATTTACCCCTTTTCCACTGCAAAGGTGCCGGTGCCGATCCCCAATTTGGAACCAGTGCCACATTTTTCCACAGAAAAAAAAATGGTGCCAGTGCCACAAAATCGGCTCCGAACCGGCAACAAACCTTTACTGGTCTGAATGAAGCACCACGCTGTAGTGGACGTGGTTTGTGACGTGGGCGCAGTGTTGTCACCCGGTTCCCACTGGGCTCTCAAGTCCGTGGAAATGCAGGCCCGCTCTTGCTGGTTCCCAACTTCAGCACCGGCCAAGCACCAGCCCCAGTACCAGCACTGGCACCAGTGGAGTGGAAAAGGAGATATAGCTGCTTTGCACTGGCACCACAGAGTGTGTGAGTACTTCTAGGGGTGCGAACAAGCCAGTTTCACTTTGTCTCAGATGGTCTGTGCCCTGCATCCGCCTGTTTCACCTAATGGGTTAACCAGCCCTGGATAGGAGACCAGGAAAATAAGACTGAAGTTTTCTGACTGAAATGCGTAATTGAGCTATTTGCTTAAATTGTTCAATACACTGAAAAAACACTTACCGGATACAGTGGTCTTTATCTCCATGTCTTCCCTCTCATTGAATGCATATTCTGCTCATATCTGTGACACCATCTGCTTTTCACACTTAATAGTGTGTGATTGGTCAGAATCTGTTAGTATGTATGATTGCTGCCCAAAGGTGTTAATTAGCAAGGTACAGTTTCACTTCTGGAGTTGTACTTTACTTGAATATTTTAATTTGTCGCAATTTTTACTTTCACTTACTTTCGCCTACATTTTTGAGGTAAAAACAGCCTATTATTCCAGTATGATCTGCACGAGACCATCGTTACCCAATTGTTCGCACTTCTTCAGTCTGGCAGGCATTGTAAGACCTTAAATATTCGCACCACCAAGCTGAGAAATAGCATTTTCCCCAGAGCTACTGTATAAAGGTCATGAATCAACTCATCAAGCTCCCACCATAAATGGCCTGACCCCCCTTACTGTTTTGGTTATGTACTGTTGCACACATGATCTGTTTGCACTATTTACTACTGCCAGACTTGCTCTTTACTATGGCTCATGGCAGTGGCTGCCTTTCTCTTTGTACTGTTTACACTGTACATACTGCCTTATACTGTGGTTAATTACTTGATTACTATTTTGCCAAATTGAATTGGCTCTGGTTCTGCCTTTTTATTTACCACTTTTTTATTTAGTACTAAATAAAAGTTATGTTATTTTATTGTTATTTTACTTGTTCTATTTTTACTTCTTACTACGTAAGAAAGTAGCAAACTTATTCTTGTTGCAATGTGCAGTGTCAATGGCACATGTGCAATGACAATAAAATTATTCATTCAAATAATTTGTGAAAGAAAAAAATTTGTGAAAAGCATGCAGTGCACCTTAGTTTTGGGGTGCACAATTCTGGATAAAATACGAATCAGGATTTTTTTTTTCATTCAGAATCGAGATTGTGATTTTCTGTTGCAGTTCTTGAACGATATATTTCTCCACATCATTATTATTACTACTATCATTATTATTATTAGCATTAGCCTTAGTATTGAATATTGGCTTTATCAAGATGAAACAAACCGTATGTAGAGATACACGATATATTGGTTAATATACGAATATTGGCAACCAATATTTAAACTTGTTCAATATCTAAAGTTAATTCAAAAAGCACCAGAGCTAAAGACATAACTGCTGAAATAATGCAGATTATTGCATTGAACCATTTTCTGTACTGGAGAACTGGGAATTTTGTCGGCTCATTCAGCAATTATAAGGGGCCTCAAAGTACCAGTCCATGACATGTTTATAATTCATTATTAAATGTGGCCTATACATTGATCTTGATTTTCCACAAAATAAAAAACAATGCAATGTCATTCTGCTAATCTGCACTGGCAAGCACATCATTTGAAAGCATATTTTGCTCTTTCTGAAATGTACTTTTTACTTGGTGTACTTTAAAACCGGTATTTTTAACTTTAATAGTCTGGCACCAGATGACTTTTACCTTTACTTGCATGACATTTTGGTGTGATACCTTATTTAAGTATGAAAATTGAGTACTTTTTCCTCTACTGGTGCTGCCTTTGCTAGAAGATCACCAGTAATCAGTGGGTTTGTCTATTATTGGTGTTACATGAAGCATTTTAATTGGGTTTTTCCATATCGTATAACTGGCCATTCAGGTGCATGTTCTTCAGTTTATTATGATCTAGGGTGAGCCTGTGGCGCTCGGAGTAATTTTTTTGGCTGGGTGGTCAGCTGACCTTAACAGCCGATTGATGAATGTCTTGCAGAATTTACATGCAGAGATACCAGAGCAGTTATCAAGAGAAATAACAGAAACAGTCTGTTCATCTCAAGTGTTTATTTCTAGATTCTGATCAGAATGTGTTCTTTCTCTCTTTTTCTTTCTAGGAAAGGTTTCTGACTGGAAAAACCATTTCACTGTGGCTCAGAATGAGCAGTTTGATGAAGTCTATCAGAAAAAGATGGCAAACACCACCCTCAGGTTCAGGACAGAAATATAGTCTGAGTGTAAGCATGTAAGGCAGTGGTCATGCTGTCACGCAGAAGCTAATAGTAGCCCACAGGGATCCACTGAGTAGCCTGCATATGGAGTCAGAGCAATTTTTTTGTGTTTGAATATATTTGACTGTCTCAAACACGTATGCTGCACAGTGGATGATGCTTTTAAAATTATTGTCTTTGTAAAAGTAGCTCACACGCAGTAAATATGGTTGGAGACACTTGATATAAGGCAGTAATTCTCAACCCATGGGTCGCGAACCAAATTTGCATCGTGACAAATTCTGAAAGGGTCAGGAGGCAGAGTTGGAAATGTAAGCATTTTAAAACTACCAAGCTCCTGTGCTGATCCACGATCAGATTTGCCAGCCTTAATCCTAGAATTAACCTATATAAACAGGCTTAGAGCAAGACTAGTGAACACTCAACCAATCCAAGAAGCCAAATCAAAGATGCTTAATTTAAAATTCACTGGCACATCCAATCAGATTTGTGCGATCGGCATTGATTGGCGTAAACTGCATGCACTGCACGCTTGAACATAGCGTTTATTTAAACCTATGTTTGATATATGGTCATGACTGAGCTGGCATGGTAAAAATTGGGTCGCAGTGCAAAGGTTAAGAACCACTGGTATCAGGCATTCAGTATGCACGCTCATGTATGCATGCTATTCAAAGGGCTTCCACCAGATGGAGCCAAGGCTTTTCAGATGTACCACCCCAGCTATTCAGCAGATATTTGGACCAGACATTGAATGAAATAATTCAGTGCATCTTCATTACTGTTAAATACAGCAGTGTTCACTGAAGAAAGGAATGAAAGAATGTTATGCATTCTGACCCATGCCTACCTCATACATCCCGGTGCACTGTATGTAAACCTTTATGTACTACATGTAACCATATTCTTGATTAGTTGGTATAAACTGTGTACGCAAAAAAATAAACTCTCAGTGAATAAAGAGTATTGACTAACTTGAGGTTTTAAATTTTATACATTTATTTAAAATATGATATGAGACTCTGACATAAAGATCAAACTGGGAAAAGAGAAGTGAGATGGAGTGAAGGATCAGAGTGCTGAAAACAACACTGGAACGGCACTTGACCAGGCATGAGCAAACGAATACCAAATCAAGATCACAGTACTGCACAACCAAAAGTTTCCTTTTGCTGGGAAGTTACATGGACCTTCGGCCCGGACGAAGACTGCAGGCAAGATGGGAAGAGTTGTTTGTACCAGGTGGTTGAGATTTGGGAATGCTGCACTAAACAATCATAACTGAAAGATGAATTTCACTATATCAATATCAAATTCATCTCACGGCCCAGCTTTCCTAGGCTGGTCTGCTGCTGACAAACACGTTACAAGAAAACTTGCTGACAGAACTGTGCTGTGTATGTATTTAAAGCTGCCACCGCCTTCGAATGCAGGCATATGTGACAATTTCCAAAACTGCAAGCATACATTCACTGTGATCATTATCAAGTGGATTTGCTGAATGATGTAAGACAATGATGTGTGATGTTACTCTCCCTACTACGATAATACATTTGGACACCCCAGGAGCAGACATTGGAAAGTGGTACTTTTCTGATAGAGTGCTCCAATAAAGCGGTTTCAAACTGCAACTATGCCCCATGATGATGACATCTGATCAGTATGGTAATGCAGCCGTACTTTTAAGGCCTTTGTCTCTATGAAAACCGCGTTGCAGAACAACGGGCCATGTGCCTATGGGATGGATCATAAACCGAAAGAATAAATGTTTTGTGTCATGAGATGAACAGATCTCTTCACACACTTTATGTACATATTCTATTCGGTGTCGAGCACTGCGATTTTCATGGTATTTTTCTGCATATAACACAATTTAATGACACAGTTTTAACTGGTAGTGCAAATTTTAAGGACTGCTTTACGTCACGTCAGTCCATCACAATTGGAGTATGGTCTTTCTCTCCTGGCTTCTCTCAGATTGTCACACTGTCAAACACCTGAAGGCACATTACTGCTATATGTTCCTGGGGTCTTTGTACAAAACCATAATGAGCCCTGTTGCTCCCTTTTAAGGTGCCTTCAGTCATATGTATTGAGTGGGGGCTTTGGTGCAAAGGGCAACACTCGTGACTCGTGACCATCCCACATCCTTACTTATGGCACATCTATACCACCAAAAATTCAGGAGGAAGAGTCTTGGGGTTTGCAGACAGAGGGCTCTGACATGATACAGTCACTGCAGGCAGCCATATTCATAATATACAAAGATCTAACCTTGCAAATAATGAAAGCCGCCAATGACATGGATCTGTGTAATAATGCAGGTGAAAACAAATCCACTATTCAAGTGTTGGTGTTGGTAATTAGTTGGTTGTAATCAGTTGTTATTCTCACTTAAGAAGGTCCACTTAAATGGCGTATAGATGTACATTTTACCCTGTAATACAATGTAATTCACGGACATGATTCGAACTCAGATCAGTGCTGAGCGCGGATCCTCCTCAGATCGAGCACTGCGGCTGCTTCAGCCGGGTTGCCTCCAAAAGCCATTCACAGTTAGGTTAGAAGTCTGGGTCTTGAGCCACCATGACGCCATGACGCTGTCCTTTTGGGTTTAGGCATGTAAACACGCCTCTGTATCATTCACTCTTTGGCCTGGTGCCTGTCACTCTGTCCAGGGCAAAAAGCCAAACTTAGACACTTAAACCCCTAAAATGTCAGCAGGGTGTTACACAGTGTGAAGTGTCTTCAGTCCATCCCGGGGCAGTAGAGTTAGGTGCAGTGCAGTGCAGTTCAGTGCAGTTCAGTGCAGTGCATTGCAGCACAGCCCTCCCCATTCCCCACAACTGGCTGTCCACTGTTCACCCCTGACTTTACGACCCCTGTGGTGCCACAGCTCGCTGGGTGACACACCTTTTCATGTCTCAAATCGGCCTGTTAAAATGCTTGGTCAGTACGTGTGCCGGCCAGCGGTCAGCCGTCCCACGCTGGCTCCGCTCGGTGCGAAGATGCCGTCGGGGATTTCACAGGTCGATGATCTCGCTGCTCATGCTGGCCGAGTCGTCCTGCCGGCTGACCTCCAGCAGGCCCCTGCTGCCCCCCTGGCTCATGCCAGCTGCCCCTCCTTCAGGCTCCGAGTCTGGAGTCACGAAGGGCTTGGTGTCGTCGTCCCCTGAGCCACGCAGCCGGCCTGGGCCTCTGTGGGGCCGGAAGGAGACGGGGCAGGACGCAGAGGTGGGGACCCTCTGGATGGCGTCCTTGTCCTGCTCTGACGTGCAGCATTGCAGCGTGGGCGTCGATGGCGCAGCCGCCTGCCTTTCAGTCGCATCTCCCCCATCCACTGGCTGTTCTTCCCGGCTGCAGCTCTGCGACAGATTAACCTGGGGGTCGCTGCTGCGGCGGGGCCAGGAGGTCAGGGCGTGACGGCGGGGGCCCGGGGATGTGGGCGAGGGGGGCGATAGGCCCCGAAAGAAGCCGTCCCCCCGCAGCAGGTGCTCACGGTGCAGAGCTTCGTCGATGCTGCGGCTCAGGTCGATGGGGGAGGGGGGTCGCAGGTCGAAGTCTGCGAGGGACAGGATGGATTCCTTCTCCTGGACCCAGTCCTTGTCACGCTCCAGGCTGCTGCTGAGGGAGCGCCGGGGTGTGCGGCCCAGAGACTGCAGCCGCAGCAGGGAGCCCGTGGAGCCGTCAACAGCGCCACCCTTTTGGTTGCGCCCGCGGTTACTGTCCTTCACGCTGCGTGAGCCGGGGGCCTGGTCGCGGTTGCGGATCAGGCTCTTGCTGATGTCAGCGCCGGGCCGCTCCTGGCCCGCCCAGTTGTTGGGCACCTCGCCCGCCCCCCCGCTGTCGGACTTCCTGCAGGGCCGGCCCCGGAGGCTCTGCACGATCTTGGCCCAGCACGGGTGCCTCTGCGTCGAGGAGGACGAGCACGAGGAAGATGGCGCCTCGACTCCCGCCGCCACGTCGGCCGGGCATGCTTCTCGGTCCCGGGGCCGCCAGAAGACCCAGGAGGCCAGCAGCAGCATGAAGGCGGACCAGGCCAGCTCCAGAAGCCGGGCCCAGAACTGAACGAGCCACCAAGCCCAGCTGAAGGAGCGCCAGTGGCCCAGCCACCCGTAGAGCCAGAAGGTGGCGTAGGCATGCAGGCCGCAGCACAGAGCCCCCAGGCAGGTGCACACCACCATCACCCGGCCCAAGATGCGCAGCGACCACAGTCCCTCCGGCTGCCAGCCCGCCCGGGCCACAGGCTCATCCAGGGGAGGGGCCGGAGGTCGCAGTAGCTGGGGGAAGGCGTACAACAGGGAGCTCAGGCACAACAGCAGCCCCCAGGTGAGCGAGAGCAGCTGCAGCACTGCTGGCACAGCAGGAGACAGCGCCGCCGACAGCAGGTCGGCCGCCAGCAGCACGGTGCAGTGCACCACGGCCAGCACCGCCGCCAGTGGGGGGCGCTGCAGGCCTAGAGGCAGCAGCCCCATCTGGTCCGCTGCTCGCAGTGTCAGCAGGAGCAGCGACGCCTGCGCCCAGATCAGCGGCGGCAGAGGCAGGTTGTAGAGCGCGGTGACGCCTGTGCGGGGCAGCACCTCACTGGCGCCGTACGGGTCCAGGAAAAAGAGGACGGCCCGCAGGGTGCCCGCCAGCAGCAGCAGCGCATTGGCCAGGGCCAGGCAGCCCCGGTGGGGACAGTACAGGCCCGGTGACAGAAACAGGCCCACTAGCGCCCCCGCTGCCAGCAGCAGGAACAGCACAGCCGTGCCATAGACGTGCAGCTCCCAGGCGAAGGACAGTTTGCGCTGCAGGTCGGCCCACAGCAGCAGCGTGCCGTTGTGGGGGGTCGGGGACAGGCAGGGGCCCCGCCCCGACACACACGGGTCCAGGGGGCTAGGGGAGGGGGCCGGGAGTGTGGGGGCATGTCCGAGTAGGACAGACGCGTTCTTCTCCAGCATGCGACCTGCCTTCGGGCCCGACCCTTGGCCGGTCGGGGACAGGGACGTGGAACTTGTGCCGGTGGTCAGCTCTGTGACGGCTTTGGGGGGGGGGGAGACAAACAGCCACAGGGTTAGTCTGTACCTTCGCTATTCTGTGCAGCAGAATATGATAAAAGTGACCAACCAGCAAAGGAGGGAAGGTGGGAGGCGAGTCAGGGGAACAGAAAGAGATGGAAAAGCTATGAGGGGGGTGGAGACTGTTCTGGCCTACTGGTACACTGAGGCACTGAGGATGGAGCTGTATTCAATCCATAGAACATGCAGTTGGGTCTTTATGCCACCAGAGGGAAGCATTTTAATATCAGTCAAAGGCCCACTGAGGATATATCCATCCATCCATCCATCCATCATCAAACTGCCTCTCGTGATCAAGGGTCTGACGGCGCCTGGATACTGGCACTGCGCACAGCGCTGGGGGGACACGCCCTTCACGCGGCACATACATACACACTATGAGCAGTTTAAAGACGCTGGAGGACTGTGGGTACAAAGAGGGAACTTGCAAACTCCACACTCAAGGCAGAGACTACAGAGCCTCCAAGGAACAAAATTAAAAAACCACATTTTGCCACAAGGGAGGAAGGATAACAGACGTTAATACGTTTATGCTGGTAGTTGCTTTGGGAGCGGTGGCATCTGGGGTTAATTAAAATGGAGATATTTATCTGAACGCTGTGCAGATACTCAGTCCACAGACATCACAGCGTGTGACTGAAGCAATCCAGGCAGACAGCAGGGTACTGGGGGCCTGAACCGGAAAGCCAGGGCCGGCAGTGCTGCTCATCACACAAAAACAAGCTCACAGGCTGCCACTCTCTGTGAGTCAGAACTTACATCGACCTGCTCCCAGTCAGGACCATGCCCTGGAACCACTTACAAACACAGCCGTTTCATGAGATAAATAAGGAATTTTCAAGCTGACCCCTGACACCCATGAAGGGGTCAAAGTTCAGGCCTCACTGACCAAAAGTGGCCCCCACCCTATCCCAGGCCTCCCCTCCAAGCGTGCTCCACACGTCTGATGTTTTTATACCAATTAAAAAGTGAAAAATGAGGAATGATTTGAGGCAGGAGTGATATCAGGGTACAAGCCCCTCTAACCACCTGTAACTGATCTCAGTGAGAGGATGAAGTCAGCTTGCCAGGCGTGTCATAAGAGAGCCCCGGGCTCTCGCGGGTTTAGCCGAGCAGCTCGTACGCTGCCTGCTTTACTTTCCCACTAATAAAATCTCCCCGCTCCTTCCTGCAGTCCCCACATCTGCTGGATCTGTTCACCGTCACGAAGAAGTAGGTTTCTGATGACTGTCAGATTGCACACACATATTTAACAGATGCCAAAAAATACAGAAAGTGGAAAAAAGTACTTGTGAACAGCTTCCATGAAAAGCAGGAAGGTGGGGGGGGGGGAGACGTGGGGATGGGGAGTGAAATGAAAGAAGTTGAACTTTTCCAGAAGCCCTTTTGAAATAAAATTTCAACCCAGTGTGTGGGATGTGATGGGTGAGTCCAGGAAGAAGGGAAAATGTGTGTGTGTGTGTGTGCGTGTGCGTGTGGGTTTCAGTTTGAGGATGGTGGTGGGAGGGGGGGCATGGGTGGATAGCACAGCCTCCTGCTGGGGGCTTGGATCAACAGTCCTGTGAACAAAGGCCTCACAATGGCCCCTTCCTTATCCTGCAGGATTAGACACCCCCGGTAACACCCACAGTAGCAGATACACGGAGACTGGGGTGCGGTGCTTAAAAAGCAGCAATGAATCGCTCCATGCGGGCGCCAGGCTCTTTCTCATGTGCTTTTTTTTCATGGGCAACATCTGGTATCACTATTTCTTCAGAAAATCTTCATGGTATATCTAAGAAACTTAATTCAACTACTAATAGCCTCCAGCTGGAATTCTGATCTATTTTTGTTTTAAATCCTCTCACAGTATAACGCTGAAAGGGCTGACTCCGTGAAGGCATCTAATTACACAGACACATTATTTAGATAATACCGAATAAAATACAAGACAGAGCTTTATTATTACTCTTATAACTCCTGCCTTGTTAGTGAAGCTGAATCATTACATGGCACCTGATCCTAAAACAGATAAAGTTCATCCATCTGTCTAAATATTAACCTCTTGAAATGGAGAGAAAGGTCTGAATGACAATGAAGGAGAGATGTGCAGCGCAACTCAGAATGACACTGAAATGGAAATGTGATAAGAACATAAGAACATAAGAACATAAGAACATAAGAAATTTACAAACGAGAGGAGGCCATTCGGCCCATCAAGCTCGTTTGGGGAGAACTTAGCTAATATCTCAGAGT